GACAATGGGGTGAAGAATAGTGAGCAGGAAGGAAGGGGGCTTTGCTCCCTTCCACTGCTGGCCCCTCGCCTATGCAGTTGCCTGTTCGCTCCTGCCATTGTTGCTGGCTTTTGGTCCCTTCCCATTATGGGGGAGCATTGAGATCTGAAGACCGCTGGGGGCCTCCCTTGAGACCAAGCACGCTTCCTTTCTCTTCCGCCCTGGAGCAAGATGGCGGCCCCTCGCTTCGCTTGCCTCTTCTCACTCCGGCCGGCAAGAGGGCCGTCGCCCGTTACGTCATCACTGCGCGCGCGCCCCCGAAGCGGGGAGGGGAGCAGGATGCTGAGCCGCTTGCAGGAGCTCCGCAAGGAGGAAGAGACGTTGCTGCGGGTCAAGGAGGCGCTGCACGACCAGCTCACCCGCCTCAAGGTGCGGAGCGGGCGGTGCCAGCCGCACGTGTGTCGCATCTCCCCGGGGCGGCATGTAGCGCTGTCATTCCAAAGGCACAGCCTCTGGGAGAGGGGAGGAAGGGGATCTGCCTTCTCCTAGCGGTCAGGGAGCCCCCAAAGCCCCCATCATCATCTCTAGGCCTGTAAGACCCAAGACACGGGATAATGGGTATGATAGTTCAACAGATTTGGAAGACGAAGCGCAGAGGCCAGTGGGGCTTTTGCATCCATAAAAAGGGGGATTACAGGCAGGATTGCAATTCAGCTTCCCCCAAAGATTCTTCTGTATGGCTTGCCTTCCTCCCCCCCCCCATCGTTGTTGTCTGGGGATTATGGGTATTGTAATCCAAAGCTATAGGGAATGGATTCAGGAGTAACAAAGCCCCTGTTCCTTGTACCAATACTTTGTGTGGACCAGTGTTTCTCAAGTTATAGTCCCATGGGGATCCTTGAAATCAAAATTATTTGCTAGCCTACGTTGAAAAATAATGCAATATGAAACGCTCTTGACAAGCGGCAGTGAATGCATCAATTTAAAATTTTAATGTGGTAAATATTGATAAGTATAACATGCAAACAAAAGCTCTTTTGTGGTTCTCCATAATTTTTAAAAATGGGGAGGGGTCCTGGGAGACAAATGCTTAAGACAGGTTGTTCTGTCCAAGCTGCCTCCTCAACTTCTCACCTGCGTTCGTGTTTACAGGATGGATCCTTGTTCAGTGCGTGTTTGGCTTTGTGTTGTGTTATTGTTATGCTATCATTTCAATTGAGGAAGTGGCTATCCATCTCAAATATACGATTCTGGGCAGCAGGGAATTGTTATTTTTAACCCATTTAAGGTTGAAGAGGAATTCATTCTGGAGGAATGAAAACCAAAAATGCATCAAACCATAATAAAGATTTAAAATGCTTTGAAAAAGAGGAAAGGCTTGGTCTAGTTTGTAGGGAGACATGATCGGGGCTCCAGGCAGATTGTCCCAAGGAAGACCATTTCAAAAAAGGGAGCCATAACCACAGAAGCTCATCCCTTCTGCCTACCCATCTCCCTTCAATTTGTTCAGGTGCTTAGAGAACTTCTGAGGATGGCCAGAGTGCTTGGGTTGGCTTTCCCTGAAAGGCAACCTTAAGATATTCTGCCTCTTTCAATTCTTATCTCCAGGTAAAAGGAAAAAAATCTATAAAAACAAATAATACATAAAGCACTTGTACTGCCTGGAGTAAAATAATCTAATAATGACCCAAACACCGAAAAACAGGTTCCCTCTCTAATACAGCCATACATCAACCGCAGACCTGGAATCAAAGCCAGGTTTTAAGGCTAAGTCTTACAAGAGGAGGTCCTGACCTTACCTCTGGGGTGATGCTCTTCCAGAGGCTGGGAGCTGCACCAGAGAAGATTCTCCTGGATGCTACTGCCTGTTTGGATAAATCTAGCACTGGGTGGATGAAGATGCAGGCTGAAATCCAAAGTCTTAAACAACAGAAGCAAATCTGACCTTGGAAGCCCAACTTCAGATACCCGTTTGCCCTCGTAGCCCTCCTTGTCAGGAGCAATACAGGTAGTCCTCAACTTACAATTATTCATTTAGTGACTATTTGAAGTTACAATGACACTGAGAAAAGTGACTTATTATTGCAGCATCCCCCTGGTCATATGATCAAAATTCAAGTTGTTTGGCAACTGGCCTGCATTTATGATGATTGCAGTGTCCTGGGATCATTTGATCACTTTTGATCACAAAGTCAAAGGGGAAGCCAGATTCACTTAACAACCATGTTACAAACTTAACAACTGAAGGCAGGACAAGAAGCAACAGATGGAAACTAATCAAGGAGAGAAGCAACCTAGAACTAAGGAGAAATTTTCTGACAGTTAGAACAATTAACCAGTGGAACAACCTGCCTCCAGAAGTGGTGAAAGCTCCAACACTGGAAGTTTTTAAGAAGAGACTGGACAGCCATTTGTCCGAAATGGTATAGGGTTTCCTGCCTGAGCAGGGGGTTGGACTAGATGACCTCCAAGGTCCCTTCCAACTTTATTATTATTATACTACTGCATCAATTCACTTAACTGTGACAAGAAAGGTCATAAAATGGGGTAAAACTCAACATCAGTCTCGTTTGACTACAAAAATTGTGGGTTCCGTTGTGGTCACAAGTCAAGGACTATTGATACACCTCTCTGCGTCAGGTGCCTGGGACCAAGCCGTGGAAAATGTTTTCAATCCTTTGGGGAAGTTTTCTGAGGAAGACTCCTCTGTTGGATGACCTCTGTTGGAAAGAGGATACGGTCGGCTTCATAAAGGATCTCTTGTAAGACTTAGCCTTAAAGGACCTCAGATTTTCTATCTAGTCCTGTGTTTCTCAACCTTATAAACTTTTTAGATGCAGGACTTTTGTCAGATGCATGGTGTGGCTAAACTGATACAGAAAATGGGAGGAGGCAAATTATATTAATCTGAAAAGGTACATCTGAATTTTGGTTACCATAGATTAATATAGCTCTCCTCATATAGTAGCTTGAGATTTACATTTGCTCTCTCCCTGCGGTACTCAGAGCCATAAAAGGGCTTAACCAGCCATCTTCCCAGCCTTGTGTTTGCCATGTTTATTTGAATACCACATGAGCTTGAGAATGCTTGGCCAGCTGTTGGCAAAGTGCTAAGACCATGGTATGAATGAGAAAGCAAGACCCAGCTGTATGCACAAAGGCTGGTATTATAAATAGACATCCAGGAATGTGTTTTCCGGAGGGGATTAGCATTTAAGTCTGGTGTTCAGCTCCACTTCCTCTTGTGCAGATCTGCTTACAATTGTTTGGATACCTAGAAACAGAGCTTAAAAGGGTTCCCAATCCTCATCTTTGCACTGGGGGCAGTGCATGTTTCTCATTCATTCTGTGGGGTCACCCTGAGGCTTGATATTCCATCAAAACAGGGTAGTTCTACCACAGAATATCAGGTGGTTTTTTTGTAATTTCTAAAAACGCATCCCATAACTACAGTCTAAATTGCAGGCTTCACTTGACCAGATTTGACTTTAAATTGATCACATTCAACTCATTTCCCAGGGTTGTTGCTGGGATAAAATTAGAGGGAGGCCCTTCAATTCTAAGAACTGGTGAGATATAAAAGACAAATGTATTTGCTTGGTTTCTCCTTCTGAAACCAGAAGTCTAGACAGCTTTATTAAAGAAATACAGGTAGTATAACCATTTGTTTAGCAGTCATTTGACAATGGCACTAAAAAAAGTGAATTACAACCAGTCCTTGCATTTATAACCATTGCGACATCCTCACGGTCCTGCGACCAAAATTCGGGGCTTGGCAACTGGCTGTTACGGTTCCGACAGATGAAACTCTTCAGAAGAACTTCGAGGCATTGTTTTCCTTAAAGAATCTTTTATTCGGGAAACAAAGTATCAGCACTACATAGTTGAACCCAAAAACTAAATTCCCCTCCCCTCGATACAAAGTAACAAAGTACAATTCTTACCCCCAATAAACAGTCATAAAGCACATTCCCCAATTAGCTTGAAGCGCAGGCTTTCTCCACAGCTCTCCAGCCTGCCAAAACGTTATCAGCTCTGGACCCAGTTTGTCCTTGGGTTCCCACGGCAGAGTTGTTATTATTTTGACTAACTAACTCTCATCTCAATCCCCCCCCCAGCACCAACTAATTCTAAAAGCATAAGGAAAATAGCTGCATTTTCATCTGTTGTCAAAGCAAGAACGTGCAATGTTAGCAGCGTTGACACTGGCATGTATTTATTGATGGTTGCAGTGTCCCAGGGTCATGTGATTGCCATTTGTGACCTTCCCAGCTGGCTTCTGACAAGCATGGTCAATGGGGGAAGCTGGATTCATTTCACAACTGTGTGATTCACTAACAACTGCAGCAATTTCCTAAATAACTGTAGCAAAAAGGTTGTCAAAGCGGGTGCTTAAGAACCACCTTGCTCAGCAGTGGAAATTCTGGTCTCGGTTATCATCATAAATTGAGGACTGCCTGTATTGCAAGAGAGGAATTGCCATTTTCCCTCCTTGGAGATCATTTGCGCTTAGCACTAGGCTCCACAGCCCTTTGCTTGCCAAATTACATTTTCACACAAGATTTTGCTAAAGAAAAATGGATGATTCCAAGGACGTTGCTTAACACTTCTTTTAAGACCGACCATTACTTTCTATTTCCAGGTGGAAGAGTTGGCTCTTCGGTCCATGATCAATACCCGGGAAGGGACTGTGTTCACTCCCTCAGCTGCTGGGATAGAGGAGCACGCAAACGTAAGGCTCTTTCCCTCCATTGAAGCAGCTCTCCTGTTTAGAGTCCTCAAAGGCCGGGTCCTCTTCACAAGGAGAGAGAAAAATCTCCTTTGCAGCTCTGGGCTAATGATCCAAAACCACCCTGGTTGTAACTGATACCTCATTTGCCAGAATGCAGACTGAGGGAGATTCTCTCCACTGTTTCTGTCCAAGCAGGGGAACAACATGTCCAAGCAGAGTCAGGTTTCTGCAACTCCCTGTTTTAAAAATACTCACGGAAGATGTCCCAAAGATGCTTTTTTCTAAAGGCAGCAGTACTTTCTTGTTTTTCCTTGGGGACATTTCATCTCTCATCCAACTGGGCTTTCTTTCTGGCAGTCGTTGAGGCCACTTGGAGGTTTATCTGTGCCCCCAGGGTCACCTGAATAGTGCAAATGGACACCCTCTTGGAACTGCTGACAGGACGGTGCTGTAAACAAGAGAACAAGAGACGGTGGAGACGGGTGTATCTCTCCCCCTCTGTTGAGGGCTATTCAGTCTTAATGTAGACAGCCTCTTTGATCCCTCTTTCAAACTTTGAAAGAGGGCTAATGACCAGATGACTGCAAGAAATATGAATCCTTCCATTCTCCACCATTTAGTTAGAACTAAAGAAGCTTCTTGGATAAGAAGCCAAACTTCCTCAAGGAAAAACAAAGAAAGTCCAGTTGCTTTAGAAAAAAAACATATTTGGGACAAACAACCATGACATGGATGACATAAACACTCATGGAAGATATGCTGGACAGAGGCATGACAGCAATGATTTACAAACACTCTGTCATTGTTGAATGGGGAGGAAAATGCATCAATGGCATAGGCAAGAGAAAGAGGGCTTTAGAAATGTTTTCCTGGCAGATTCTTACATGTTTTAGCACAGGAATTTTTAAATCGGGGTGCATGTGATTTATTGGGATTCAGGATGACAATATTAGAATATTTCACCCTTTTTACATTTTGTTTGGGGATGAGCATGTTTTATAATATAGGTAATATCTTGGTATGCTAATACATGAATGGATTTATAACATATATATGGGAGGGTGGACGGTTTTATGATGGTTTTGCTGAAAACCAGCAGTTTCTTTCCCTTTTGGGTAAAACTGTGCCTTAACGAACACTGGATTCATTTGAAGATCATAGCACTCATTTTACGACCACATTTAATGATAGCTATAACAAAAGGTCATAAAATCAGGTCACCTGACCAACCTATTTTACAACCATGGCGACATACAACTATAATGGATAGGCTCCATTACGGTCATAGGTCAAGGGCTACCCCTATACACCCACAAAGCTCAACATTTGCTCACCTGCTGCAAACAGCATTTGGGATGTTTCCGTACACCCCCCCCCCCAAGGAGGAGATCTCCTGACATATTTCTCAGCAGGAAGTGACCAGTTTCTTCTTTCTTTGAATAGATGGACAATGAAATGGCCATTAACCAGACTAAACTGCAGCTACAAGTGCATGCTGATGACGAGGAAGAGGAGGAGGAAGAGTCGGATTCCTAATGGCAAATGTTGCTCTCAGGCCAGTGTTCTGTGACAGACTCCCAAGCCTCCCTAGCTTTGATGAAACTTTGTGTGGTTCTACAGAGACTAAACTACAATCAGAAGTGCCGCTGAGCATCTCACAAACTTCCAAAAGTGGTAATATATTATGGGGTGGGTTGGAAAAAGATAGTATTAAAGCCTAACTATGTAGCACAAGTCATTTTATAAAGCAGACACATGTTTCAAAACAAGTAGCAATTCAGAAAATGCAGCTTTTGAAGCAATAATCTGTCCATGAAACATCTTCTGCCTGGTTATAAAAAGCTGGAAAGTTGCCCTTATTCTGTGCCAGTTGGTTTTCCTGAACCTCCTATGGATAAATCGCACGAAAGTAGTGAAAAATGTGGGGTTTTTTTTCTGTATGGCTGTACATGACTCCTTTATTCTTGTTGGTTTGGGCCTATTTTATGAAACTTGTATGGAATAAAAATATGTTTTGTTTACAATAGGTAATATTAAAAATACTTTGAGTGGCATTCAGTCCTTCCAACAGATGCCAAAATGACTCTGCTTGCTTTGCATTGTTGGGGCTAAATTTCTATCTTCAGGAATTGCAAATCACTCCAAAGTAGATTTTTTTGGGGGGCAGGAAGCATACATATTATCCCGACAAGTTTGACTCTGTAAGCAGGCACTGCCATGAATTAGCAGCTCTTCAGGAAGTTGCATCCCATATATTAGTACTGATTTTCAGGGAGAAGCAAACCAGCTGCAGCACAAATGGAATGGAATGGGGCAAGTTGCTGACTTAAAGGGAGGCACACAAGAGCAAGTGTGGGCAACTACGGCAACTTTACAACCTGTGGACTTCAACCCCAGAATTCCTGAGCCAGAGTTGAAGTCCATAGGTTGTAAATTTGCCATAGTTGCCCACACTTGCTCTTGTATCTAATTGGGGACTGGATTGCAGGGGGTAGCGGGGTGGGGGTGGGGGTGGGAGGAGCTGTGCTTTATGGTCATCATCTACCAAGGCATTATAGTATCTTTGTATGCCATGCAGTACAGTTCACAATTGTCTTCCATCTGGAGAAGAAAAATCTCTGGAAGATGAGTTACAGAGAGTTTGCCGATGGGCAATGGAGTGTTTGCCGTTCCTTTTTCCAAGATCACACCTGGGATAGCAGAGGCAGAGCTAAGTCCAGAAATTACCTCCTCCCGTATACCCCAGAATACCACAAAGGCCACTTTAAAGCCAACCAAGCTAACAACTGTGTTGAAAAACCTACAAGTCTCCAAAGTGATTTTGTGACATTTATTAATGTAAGATGCAGTTGCTCGACATCTGAAAGAGTAAAATGATTAAAAGAAGTTTTCAACACAAAGGATGCACAAATTTCATGATATCTAACCTCAGCCGGCCTAGAAGGGAAATAATCCCTTTAAAAGAAGAAAAGATGGAGGAGATGGATGCCACTAAGCCAGGGTTGCTCAACCTTGCCCACTTGAACATGGGTGGACTTCAACTGCCAGAATTCCCCAGCCAACATGACTGGCTGGGGAATTCTGGGAGTTGAAGTCCACCCATATTCAAGTGGACAAGGTTGAGCAACACTGCACCAAGCAATCCCAAAATATCCAACAAGGCAAATAAATAAAAGCATCAACAAGGTGAGTCCATATTGACCCAGAAGGTGGGAGGAAAAAAAATACCCTCTACTCAGGCTGAAGCCCACCAATGGTTTCCCACCATTTCAGGACCCAGGGGTTCTTCATGACTTCCACGTCAACTTAGTGGCATCAAATCCATGTTGGGGACCGTCTCATTCAAGGCACCCGCTAATTGCTCTGGCCAGGACTGGCTAAGCAAAGCCGAAAAAGGACCACTGAGCTACACAAGGCTCATGGGACAACTCTGTAAAGCCTGGGACAGCAATAGGTCCGGCAAGGCTTTCCCCAAAAAGGAAGGGCATCCACCATTCACGTCAATTTTGCAGGTTGGCGACTCAAAGCGTCACATTTGGTCATTAAGAATCAAACACAACAGCTGTTTTCACAAAACCGCGAAAGGGACTCCACCTAGAAAAGAATTTGGTACAACAAGCTGAGAAGGCGCAGCACGGAAACAGGGTGGTGGTGGGGGAACAGCAAAATACTTTTGAGTAGACTGGGGGGGGGAAAGGGAGGGGGGGCAACCAGAACAGCATGGCTTTAAACAGTGGGAGGTGGCTGGGAACACCAATGTGCCACATGCCATGCTCCCCAACCCTGATGCGCGTCGATGGGTCTGGAGTGAGCGGTTCCAAGTCAGCCTCCCCTGTGGAATGGAAATTGCATAGCAGCAGCAGCTGGCGGAGTCTTTGTACCATGACGAGTGAGCGGCTCAGAGTCCGCCAACATGGGTTGGGGTGCTGGGCTGGTTAAGGCCAATGGTGGAGCACAGCCAGCCTGCAAAGTCCACCTCTTCTGTTTCCGATCTTTTAATGAAAATGTGGACCTGGCAGAGACAAAAGACAATAGCAATAGCACTTAGATTTATATACCGCTTCACAGTGCTTTACGGCCTTCTCTAAGCGATTTACAGAGCCAGCATATTCCCCCCCCCCCAACAATCTGGGTCCTCATTTTACCAACCTCAGAAGGATGGAAGGCTGAGTCATGCTTAGCAACTGGCGCATATTTATGACGGTTGTAGTGTCCTATGCTCATATTTATGATGGTTGCCATATTCCGGATGATCCCCTTTTGCAACCTTTCCACAAGCCAAGTCAATGGGGAAACCAGATTCACTTAACAACTCGGTTACTAATTTAACAACTGTAGTGATTCACTTGACAACTGTGGCAAGAAAGGTCGTAAAAGAGGCAAATCTCACTTAACAACTGTTGTTTAGCAACAGAAAATTTGGGCTCAATTGTGGTCAAAGTCAAGGACTATCTCTAATCATGGTCAAGGAAGTATTGGGGCTATCGGCTTTGCCAAGGAGATAAAGCAAGGATTCAAGAAATGCTACTTTATTGTTCAAGGATCTAATAACAGAAATTTGACTCCTCTTATATTGTACAAAACAGGGAGTGGATGTTTTTCTCCTTCCTTCTCTCCTTCCCATCTGTGAGTTGTCTTATTTTCCCTAAATGGTTGCTGCTTAATTTAGCTAGATTATATTCTTCTTCAGCAGTGTTTCTCAACCTTAGAAATTCTTTAGATGAGTGGACTTCAACTCCTATGCTGTCTGGGGAATTCTGGGAGTTGAAGTCCTCAAATCTTAGATTTGCCAGGGTTGAGAAACACTGCACTTAGCCAACAGTGAAAAGTCATCACCATTCACAAGTAGGCGCCCCAGGGCCCTTGCCTATCACAGTCACCCCAAGACAGCAATTTGGAACTTCTTCCAAGGATGAGTTCTACACAATTTGTTTAACCTGGTTAGCAGTTAAGCCATTATCAGCAGTTTCACAATTAACTCGGACCTAGATAAATGGACAGCATTTATAGAACATGCTAAGTCTACCCCAATTAAATCAGGATTAAAAGCAACCCAATTTGGAAGTCATGCATGTTGACTTTCTAAGATCTAAGTCTTTAATGAACCCATTTTAGCATGTTGATGAAACCAGTAGATTCTAGGGGTAGTGTCAGAACCCTATCTTTCTATGGGCATGGGTTCTCTTATCCTTTTTGGATTTTCTTTGCTTTATTTTCTGTTCTATCCTCTTTGGTGTTTCTCCAACGGGGTGAGAATGGAATGTGCCTCTGGCCATCTTCCTTATCTCCATTTGAACCATCTGGATGGACAGTTGGGGTGGGGTTACTCTGGACACTTTTGATTACTTGATTCATGCGGGAAACCCTCAGATCCTGTCTTTTATTCCTACTGTCAACCTCTCCCAATAAAAGTTCCTTTTGAAATGATGCCATTTCAAGAGTTCTATTTTCTTGGGAGGACTTTCTTGGGAGGCGGGTCCTTACAGGTAGGAATCTTGCAATATGCATCTTTTAAAAAACCAGGAAGAAAATCTTCTTCTTCCTCTTTATATATTTGTGATCTTAAATAATATGGTAAACTATAATTAATATGTAGTATATTATTATTTTAAAGTGATTATAATTAATTAATATTAAGCATTATTAAGTAGTGAAATGAATGAGATTTATTGACTAATTTGTTATTTATGTGATTATATGGAAAGTTGTTTAATAATAATTAAGATTTAATATGTAAACCCGGACTGGTAGACTTGCTGAAACGATGTTATTTTGTGGGATTAATCCCACTTTTGTGTTATCCCTTTTCCCTGGTCTAACCTTTTTGTATGTTTCCCGTTGTCTTACCCTTTTTGACCCTATCCCCTTATTACCTTTATAAAACTCAATAAAAATATTTATTAAAAAAAAAAACCAGGAAGAATTCACTCACCATAAGCTGTTTTAGATCTGCTCTCTCAGCCGGATTCTTGATCAAGCTGTCAAAAAGAAAAGTTATACATTGCAGCTGATGTATGAGAGCCCAACACAGAAACACACGAATCTTAAATTGGAGGTCTGTAGTTTTGGATTCATGCAAAGGCTGAATGACAAGCCTAAATACAAAGCTTAAATGCATGGTTCATCTTTCATTATGGTCACAGATCAGAATAAAAATTAAAACGTTAAAATAAAACAAAAAACAAAAGATTCCTGATTTTACACACACACACACACACATACACACAATCCTGCAGTGGACAGACAATGGCTAGAATGATTATATATATACATACATACATATTTGATCCCTGCTGATTTTGTACGTTTGCCCACTGACAAAGAAATGATCAGCCTATAATTTTAATGGTAGGTTTATTTTAACACTGAGAGATAGAATAACAAAAAAATCCAGAAAAATGCATTTCAAAAAAGTTATAAATTGATTTGCATTTTAATGAGTGAAATAAGTATTTGACCTTCGCAAAACATGACTTAATACTTGGGGGCAAAACCCTTGTTGGCAATCACAGAGGTCAGACGTTTCTTATAGTTGGCCACCAGGTTCGCACGCATCTCAGGAGAGATTTTGTCCCACTCCTCTTTGGAGACCCTCTCCAAGTCATTAAGGTTTCGAGACTGACATTTGGCAGCTCAAACCTTCAGCTCCCTCCACAGATTTTCTATTGGTTTAAGGCCTGGAGACTGGCTAGGCCACTCCAGGATCTTAATGTGCTTCTTCTTCAGCCTCTCCTTTGTTGCCTTGGCCATGTGTTTTGGGTCATTGCCATGCTGGAATACTCATCCAAAACCCATTTTCAATGCCCTGGCTGAGGGAAGGAGGTCCTCACCCAAGATTTCATTGTACATGGCCCCGTTCATCATCCTTTTGATGCAATGAAGTTGTCCTGTCTCCTTAGCAGAACCCCACCCCCCAAAGCACAATGTTTCTACATCCATGTTTGACAGGGGGGGAGGGGTTCTTGAGGTCATAGGCAGCATTCCTCCTCCAAACACAGCAAGTTGATGCCAAAGAGCTCGATTTTGGTCTCATCTGACCATAACACTTTCATCCAATGCTCCTCTGAATCATTCAGATGTTCACTGGCAAATTTTAGACAGGTCTGTTCTGTACATGTGCTTTCTTGAACAGGAGGACATTGTGGGCACTGCAGGATTTCAGTGTGTTTATCAATTATTATTTTTTTGGGGTGTCTATGGTCCCAGCTGCATTGAGATCATTGACAAGATCTTCCCGTGTAGTTCTGGGCTGATTCCTCATCGTTCTCATGATCATTGCAACTCCACGAGGTGAAATCTTGCACAGAGCCCCAGACCAAGGGAGATTGACAGTTATTTTGTGTTTCTTCCTTTGCAAATAATTGCACCAACTGTTGTCACCTTCTCACCAAGTTGCTTGACGATAGTCTTGTAGCCCATTCCAGCCTTGTGTAGGTCTACAATCCTGTCCCTGACATCCTTGGACATGGTGGAGAGTTTGGGATCTGATTGATTGATTACTTCTGTGGACAGATGTCTTTTATACAGATAATAAGCTCAGATTAGGAGCACCCCATTTAAGAGGGTGCTCCTAATCTCAGCTCGTTACCTGTATAAAAGACATCTGGGAGCCAGAAATCTTGCTGAATGACAGGGAATCAACTATTTATCTCACTCATTAAAATGCAAATCAATCTATAACTTTTTTGAAATGTGTTTTTCTGGATTTTTTTATTTTTAAAAAATAAACCTACCATTCAAATTATAGACTAATCATTTCTTTGTCAGTGGGCAAACGTACAAAATCAGCAGGGGATCAAATATTTTTTTCCCTCACTGTATGTACGTGTGTGTGTGTGTGTCTGTGTGTACACAGACACACACACACACATACACATAGGATATTATATCCTATGCAATATAACAGGACATGAGCTGTGGTTGCAATGGACCCCTGCTCACGGGTACAAACTCAGTTCAAGGCATGGTCAATAATTCCCACATTTTATTTGAATGAAATAGCATCAGTTTTAGATTCTGCCCTGGCTTTATCCATGTTGCTGGAGTAGGCATCCCAGCTCATTGCTCAAAAACTATGTGTGGCCATCGGACAAAAAATAATAAACTGAAAATCATACTATCATGTTAAATTGTGAGCAAGTGTAGTCCAAAAGGGCAGAAATGAGTCTCATTTTATTAGTTACCAAAGTGTCTGTTCTTTTTTTAAAAGGAAGCAAAACAAAAGCCTACATTCAACCCTAACAACAACAAAAAAGAAAAGTGTACAAAAAAAGAAGAAAAAGTGGTCAATTAAATTTAACTTTTAACATGCCTTTTCAAAGAGACAACCTCCCCCCTGCATTTTCGCTGACCCCACTACTACCACCCACCCGCAAAGGAAATAGATGGGAGGCCAAACTCACCATTTGTTCACAAAGTCTTGGAATTCTGGCGTGAAGACTCTGCTTGGCAGCTTTGGAGGGGGCTGAAAGCAACCCAGGGATCAAAGATGAAGGCATTTATTCATTGCATTTTTATCCCATCTTTATTACTCTATAAGTAATTCAAGGCAGCCAATGTACCTAACGTTCTTTCTTTCTCCAATTTTCCCCACAACAACAACCCTGTGAGGTAGGTTGGACTGAGTAAGAGGGACTGGCCCAAAGTCACCCAGACAACTTTCATGCCTAAAGTGGGACTAGAATTTACAATCTCCTAATTTCTAGGCCAGCACCTTAACCACTAGGTCAAACTGTCTGTCTTGTCTATCTATATTCTACACCTGCAATTGCAGGATTCACAATTATGTCCATCTTTCATGATTGTTGATATGCTGCTGCATTTTCAAAGACTCTGAGCAGTTTCCCAAATGTCACAGCGTTAAAATTAGCAGTAAAGTGAGAATTAAATTAAGTCAACTTGTAGCATTTCCTTGAGGAAAGAGTCAAGAGATTTGCAAGTGCAACCAACACCAAGAGGGAAACAGTTAAATCTGCCTCTATTTAGCACAGAGCGGTCAACAAATTATCTTGGTTTAAAACTCCTTTTACATCCCAGCATCAGCTGCAATTACCTGCTCAGAAACGGGCTTTGCCGATCAGGCGCTTGTCAGAAGAGTAAGACTTTCCGCCAGACTGGGAAAGGCTGCTTCACTCTCAGATACACCCCTAAAATGCCTTTTTTGCATCTCTGGCCTTGCTAAGATCTTGGGTGAGACTGGCTATCACATATGAGATTTCACCTATCTACCAAGCATTTTGGGAGAGCATCCCAGTCATTCCTGAAGCTCCTCAGGGTGAGTGGGGGGTGCTGAGTGCTGTAGAACAGAAGGAGCCCTGGAAGTCATCTATCTAGGGCAGGAATCCATCATAACCGCGTGATTCAGAGATGCTTCTTATGAAAGCAAAAACTTTTCTGCTTGCAGAAGACAAAAATGCAGAAGACAACTATTCCACTCACCTCATTGACAATATAGTCAAGGAGCTCAAAGATGGCCATAGGTGGTCGGCTGTCGGAACCATAGGCTGAAAAATGACAACAGTCAGCAAAATTAATTTTACTCTTTGGTGTTTAGCTTATTTTTCATTCTTTTCTGATGAGACTTATTTGTCTCCAAAATTCGTTTAGTGGCATGTCTTGAAATTTCTTTAAGAAATGCTGATGAAGATAGTGTAGATTTTGTCAACAAATGTTTGCTAAAAACAAAATATTTTTCAAACTCAACAACTTTAAGATATGTGGACTTCAATCCCCAGAATTCCCCAGCCAGTATACATAAACCAAGTTTGGTGTAGTAATTAAGGTGCTGGCCTAGAAACCAGGAGACTCTGCCCGTCTCTCTTAGCCCAACCCACCTCACATGATGATTGTTGTGGGCAAAATAAGAGGGGGAAGGTAAACATATCCATGTTTACCACTTTGAACTATTTATAAAAATAATAAAGTGAGTGAGTGAGTGAGTGAGTGAGTGATGACTGGAGAATTCTGGGAACTGAAATCTGCATGTCTTCAACCAGTCAAATTTAAAAATCCCTGGCCTACACTGTCAGCAAATCTTGGCACTGTAACCAAGCAGGGACTGCCTGGATGAAAGCAAAGTCTTTGTAGGAACAGGTGTGGGCAGCAGGAAGAAGTGGCCCCTTCTTCTAAAAATGTTTCTGTGGATCTGCAAGCCAAGCTCCTACAGCCCCAGCCAATGCTCTGGCCTGGCCTGGCCTGCGCTGCCCGTGCCCACCCATCCCAACACAACTGCCATAACACATTCACACCCAATTGGGTTCCCTTCTCAAAGAAGTGATCCATTTTCAGCCCCCAAGGTGGCACTGCCAGTTCGTGCCCTCTTACTGCTCATGGGCCGGCCTGCTGTTCTCTGCCGGGGAGATGTCTCTGAGACAGGATAATCGGCCCCAACGGGACAGCCAAACATCAGCTCCAGCTCCTTGGCATCAGGTGGAGGGATGGGGTACCTGCCGATGGCCATCTCGACCAGGGAGAGCCCCATGCTCCAGATGTCTGACTGCACTGAGTAGTGAGTCCCTTGCAGTCTCTCTGGCTGGAGGAACACAAAAACAGAACAAATCACACAGGTGAAGAAACACACAGGGTGCAGCAGTGAAAGCCTGTCCAGTCACAGCCTGGAAAGGGTGATGGAGGAGGAAAAATTGACCATGGGAAACTGGATTCCACTTCTTCAAACTTTTATGTTTTTTGGCCAGGATGTGGACTTGAGAGTTTGAAAACTTACCTAACTCAACAGTGGGGCTGGGGATTCTATAAATACCAAGCAAAATGGCCCACATAACATTTTAGTTTTGATTAGTTCCTTTGTGGCACAAAAAATCTGGGGACATTTGGTTGTAACACCTGCAGCCTTTAAGAAACTGCTCAGATGGATCCTTGTGAGTCAAGGCTAGTTAGTGAGACTAGGAGTCTCACTAACTAAATTGGTAACACATAACAGCCTACCCAATTGGTAACACATAACAGCTTCTGTTGGATACAGTGCCAATCACATTGGTGTCAACTCTGGGCAACCACGGAGGTAGATCTTCTCCAAACTGATCTGTCCCCATCTTCGTTCTTCAGGCCATCATCACTGGATAATAGGTTCCCTGTGACAGCTCCACAAGTAATGGAAGATGGCTATCATATCCCCCTTAAGTCTTCTCTTTGTTAGCTAAAGGCCACTCTTGGCTACCTCTCTAATCCTCTGCCTCAAAGGGGCAGCCCTAGGCAGAAATGACAGGGCACCTTTCTGTTGTACACTCCTGTGCAAACCACTTGTGCACTTCCCAGGCAAGAAAAGCACCACCAGAGATTGACTGCTACATTGATCAGCTTTTATCACGCCTGAATTGGACAACAGCTACTTTATGGCCTTCACTTACCGACATGTAAGATCGTGTCCCGACAAAGGAATTGGCCATGGAGTCAATCAGTTGTCCGCTGACCCCAAAATCGCAGAGTTTGATTTCTCCTCTTGAGTTTACCAAGATATTGGAGGGCTTCACATCTGGAGGGAGAGGGGCAGAAAATGGAGAATACTTTCAACTATTTTACTTCTGGGGCAGTTATTCCTTTGGGCAATGTGTGACAGATGTAAAATCCACTCAAGTGTTGTTTATTATAGTCGCAGATCAATATTCAAATCATGAAATAAAAATAATGATTTAATAAAAAAACAAAATCAATATACAGGTAACAGAATCGGTAAGTGAATTTGGCTTCTCCATTGACTTTGCTTGACAGAAGATCATAAAAGGGGATCACATAACCCCGGGATACTGCAACCATCATAAATACGAGTCAATTGCCAAGCGGCGGAATTTTGATCACGTGACCATAGAGATGCTGCAACGGTCATAAGTGTGAAAAATGGTGATAAATCACTTTTTCAGTGCCATTGTAACTTCAAACAGCCACTAAACGAACAGTTGTAAGTCAAGGGCTATTGGTATAGAAAGGGATAAATAAGATTCAAATGTTAGTATCACACAGAATTGACCACTGCTGAGTCAGCAGAGAACAGGACGTCTTTCTCTGCTGCTCACTGTGATTGATAGCCGGCTACCAAAGTGAATTTTGCCGTGAGAAGCCTTGCCCTACAGACCTCTGAGAGCGAGCGGAGGAGAGGCATGGAAGAAATTTAGTGGCACAGGAACAGCCATTGAAAGCCATTAATGTGTTAACATTAAGGGATATGAAGAAAAGTGAGCCATAAAATAACTGGAAACACATTTGGGGTTTTTGAAAGCCAGTAAGTTCCTTTCATCTTCCATCTCGGTTGGCGTGACATTCTAGGGGTGTTTATTGGATTAAATAGATGATCCCACCTCTATTACATAGGCCCCAACATGGAATAACAGAGTTGGAAGGGATCTCAGAGGTCTTCTAGTCCAGCCTCTTGCCTAAGCAGGAGACCCTACAAGTGGCTGTCCAGTCTCTTCTTCCAGTGATGGAGCATCCACAAATTCTGAAGGCAAACGCTGTTCCAGTGGCTGATTGTTCCCACTGTCGGGAAGTTTCTCCTTAGTTCTAGGTCGGATCTCTTTTTGATAATCTTCCACCCATTACTTTTCTTAGCTATTTTCTTTGTTAATTATAATGTATTTATCATCGTACTGTTTTAAAACTTATTTAATACCATTTTATCAGACTGTAAGCTGCCCATGACAGTCAGGTGGCGAATAATAAATAAATAAATATCTTGAAAAACTTGCTTGGCTTGAAGAAAGGCCTTTGATGAGAATCTATAAGGAAGCCTCAGGGCTGGACCTGTGTTTCCACTACAAACCAAAAAGAACTCCAGCCTACTATAACTTTGCAAAGAAATTTAAAGGGTGTCCTAAGACTGGTTTTAGAAATGGCTGATAAGACTCACTGAGGCCAGGGCAGAAAATCATTCAGTTTCATTTCTCTTACATTTCAATTTAATTAAGATGAAGCAGTCATGGTGAAGCGGGCACAGCTGCGCCTGCATTTTCTGTGTCGCATGAGGAAAGCACATTTTCCTTCCCCTGTCCTGACCACTTTCTACAGGGGGACAATCGAGAGCATCCTGTCATACAGCATCACAGTCTGGTTTGGAAGCATCCCTGCTTCAGATAGGAAGGCGGTGCAGAGAGTGGTGAGAATGGCCAAAAAAATCACTGGCAGTTTTCTCCCTCCCATCCAGGACAGAGCACGGAAGCGTTGCTTGAGCAGGGTCCTTAAGATTATCTGGGACACTACACATCCTCTTCATGACCTATTTTCCTTGTTACCTTCTGGGAGGAGGCTTTGTGGTATCCGTAGCAGAACATCCAGATTCAGCCACAGTTTCATTCCATACAGCATTAACCTTATGAACTCTCAAGCTTCCTCCTCCTTCCGTTATACATTCAAGATGGACAGTATTTAATATTTATTTGCTACATATATGTAGGGATGTGGGTCTATACATATGTTGTTCATAGTATGTTTAGGTGTGTGTCATGTATGTTTCACTTTGAAAGCGGGCAACTAAATTTCATTTTTGATGTGTGCCGTTGTGCCCACAGTAAAAAAAATGACAATAAAGGTTATCTTATCTTATCTTATCTTATCATGCAACAGCCCTCTAAGCCAGTGTAGTTCAACCTTGGCAACTTGAAGGTGGCTGGAGAATTCTGGGAATTGACGTCCACAAGTTTTAAAGTTGCCAAGATTGGACCCCCCCACTCTAGCATATGGAATGTGGGCCCTGCGGGAAAAAGGAAACACATTCTGAGAATGTGGGAGTAGCACCAGACAAGCCCAAACTTTTGTTTGGTGCACAAATGTGAGAGGCAGTACAGACAGTCCTCAACTTACAGTCATTTGTGTAGACCGTTCAAAGTTACAACGGCACTGAAAAAAGTGACTTATGGCTGTTTTTCACATCCTCATAATCACGTGATCAAAATTCAGACGCTTGGCCACTGACCCGTATTTATGATAGTTGTAGTGTCCCAGGGTTATGTGACCCCCTTTTGCAACCTTCTGATGAGCAAAGTCAAGGGGGAACCCAGATTCACTTAACAACCCTGTTACAACCTTAACAACTGCAGTGATTCACTTAACATGGCAAGAAAGATCATAAAATGGAGCAAATGTCACTTAACAACTGTCTCGTTTAGCAATATCAATTTTGGACTCAATTGTGGTCATAAGTCAAGGATTTGCTGTATGCTAAAACCCAATTGTTGTTGGTATCCAGAAAGCAACCCCCAGCACTGTCTTGCAGGAATGTTTCAAGAGTCTCTACAAGCCAATCTTTTGGAACAAGCCAGGTTACACCTTTCGCTACATCTCCTGCTCATCTGAATGAGTATCTTCCACCAGAAGTAAATCAAGAGCAAGTATCTTCTTTCTGCAGCATCTCGGCTCTTTGGAGAACCACAGGATTATCTGACGGATTAGGACATGTTGGGATGCACCTCTTCCCTGCGTGCAGGAAGGCTGCTGGTAACCTGGCAACTGCTTCACCACTGAGACAGAAGCCTTGCAAGCAATTTCTTTCCCCCTCCTCCTTCCTCCTCTGGGCGTAGGACACCACTCAGCAGAGCAGAGCAAGCACTTATCCAGTCATTAGCCATGCATTAAGGCTCCTGAAGAAAGCAGGCACATCTGCAATTCCTCCCACCCAGGCAGAGAAAAAGGAAATCAGGCCTCAAGCAGTTTGGAAAAAGAGCTGTTTCTACTTCAGGACGCAAAGTGCCTTAAAAAAACCACAAGAATAGAGGACATTTCAATGAAACAAAACACACGAAAGCATAGGAATACATGTTACTCAACTTATGACTGTTTGTTTAGTGCCTGTTCAAAATTATGACCCCCCCCCAACAGTTACTTACAACCCAATTTCAAAGTTATGACAGCCATACCCCCTGTGAAGTCATGTGATCACAGTTTGGGCACTTGGCAAATGGCTCATTTTTAATGGCTGTTTGAAGCATCTTACAGTCACAGTTGCTGGTTTTTGGCATTTACTTTCGGTTTCCAGCAAAAAAAGCCCATTGGGCCTAATGGATTCCCTTAATGGCCATGCCAACACCATTGTGGGTTTGAACCAGAACTAGTGCAGAGCAGAAACATTCACATCCAGGGCAGGCAAAGGCAAAGTCTCTTTCAAGCTGAACGAAGCTCCTGTCAAACCATACTTGGCGAGCTCTGCCTTTTCTTCCACTTCCCAGGTTAGCCTCCTGCCGTGGGATCTCCAGGTGGGCCGGAGAGTCCAATTCTGCTTCGCTTTCTCACCCTTCACAAGCACCCCTAGCAGAGCATTGTGAAGGTGGGTGTTGTGCACTATTTTCGACCACACCTTCCCAAGGAGGCTCTTTACCAGGAGCTCTTTGCCAGGCCTATCAGAGCCCAGAGGGCTTTTGAAGAGGGTTGCTGGACAGCCATTCCAGTCGCATCTGGAGGACACATTTAGCTGTTGTAATTTCAGGAGATGCCACAAAGAAGAGGGGGTCAACCAGAAGATGGATGTTTCACCAAGTCAACCAGGTAATGGGGAATTCTAGTCCTTCCTTACCTGGAAAGCCAGCTGGGTAACTTTGGGCCAGCCCTTCTCTCTCAGCCTCCCTCACCTCACCTCACCCTGTTGTAATCTGGAGGAGGAAGGCGTGTTGGGTATGTTCATTGCTTTGAGTTATTTTTTAAAAATAGTAAAGACAGGATCCATCCATCCCTAGACTGTGGTGTTACCCCTTCTTACTTACCCCTAAAGAAAAGGCCATCCAGGGCAATGGAACAGCAGATGGTTGCGTTTCATTTAGGCCTAGCATCTTTTGGGACCCTCACTTGGGAATATAGAATACCTCCTCCCTCCCCCCTTTCACAAAATAAACACAATGGTGAAGAAAATGAAGTGGCCGCTGAAGACCAGATGTGCGGCAGCCATTTAAAAGTGCGTGGAAAGAGCTTTGACATTTTCATACTCTGGACACAAAGTGACATCCAGCTCTGGCAAGCTGCTTCTCACAGCTTCGTAAGTCTCATTTTTCGTGGCTGTTTCCATCTTGTATTTCTCTGAACTCACATATTGATTTCTACCACCTGAGCATCCAATAATGACCAGCAGGAACAAGCTGCTGGATGTGAGAATATCAACTTGTTCAAATGGCATTATTTCCCCCTGGGGAGCCGTGACCTATTCGTGTTGGGGCACAGATCCCCCACCGCTGCTCTGTAGGAAGCGTTGGAGGGGAGCCAACATAAGTGGCCAACTTCACACCTGACACACATCCTAGATAGAAAGTGGTCTGAAAATCTGTGCCCAAGATGAAGCTTTCAATCTTCTCAAAATACAGGTAGTTCTTGACTTACTTGTTAGTAATTTTGGGCCTCGGCTGGTAGCGACTTGGTGATGGGCCATTAACATGGCCGATTTTTTCCCCGTCAGTTCAAAGAGTTACCCGGGATCAAACGGGAGGGCTGCCGCCCTTCTGCGGTTGCCCAGGAGTCCTCTTCACACTTGTCGCCCCTCCAGGGCAATTTCCGACCCTTTTCAGGGTCCCCCAGTGGGAGAAAACCAGATGGTGGAGGGAGTGATCGTCCACACGTCCGCCAGAACCGCGATCGCAAACCGGAAGCCCGTTTGGCGGGATTTTCTATGACCACTTCCGGTGTACTGTTGATTCATGATAATGCTCATCTGCACACAGCTAGACGCACCCAAGAACTTTTGAAGCAGTTCCATTTTGTTTTTGATTACTTCCCCAATAGCCCAGATTTGGTGCCAAGCGACTACTACTAAGGAATTTCAAACCTTGTAAGTCATTATGACAAGTGCCTCAGTCTGAATGGCGATTATGTCGAAAAGTAATCTAGTTTTTTTAATGTGTATAATAAAAGTTCTGTATCTGCGAATGTCTGTCATTGATAACCAAATGGAGGTTTATTTCCAAATTGCCCTCATACTTACAACCCATTCTCAGAGTTATGACTGCTGCACAGCTCCCAAAGTCACGTGATTGTCTTTTGGGCACATGACAAGTGGCTCACATTTACAACTAGCTGCAGTGTCCTAAGGTGATCTGACCACGATTTGCGATGTTTATTGCCATTTTTCCAGCAAAAAAAGCCCATTAGGTATGCTGGATTCATTTAATAACCAAATGCTTCACTCAATGACCATGCAATTTCCTTAACAACCCCAGTGACTTGCTTTGCAACAATTGTATAGACAATCATACTACTGAGTCTCCAAGTATAGAAGAGTCTTTTCCCTAGCCCGTTCCAATGTCTTGCCCTCAGCACTATTCGATGGGCGATTCAAGAGGCTCCCGTTTAGTGAGCAACTATGCCCCTGTGATAGGGCTGAAGTTGAAACTGTGGAGCATATCTTATTAAACTGCCCTATGTATAATACAGCCAGAATTAAATTATTGCCTCTCCTTGGAATTGATCCCTCCGGTTCTAATGTTAGTAATTTGGTTTTATATTGTCCAGGGGGTGGCTCCTCCTATGTTACTTCTCAGGTTTCTAAATTTCTTTTAAGAGCTGTAACTATTAGAGGAGAACGTTGTAATTCCCTTTAGTCAAGGCTTCTGGCGTTAATTGTTTGTGATTATATTTTTCTTGTGTTTTCTTTTGTTGCATTTGCATTTTGGTCTGTGACCGCAAAATAAAAATTATTAATTATATACTACTGAGTCTGGTCACATGAAAACTCAAATTATGCCAATAACTTACAACTGAAATTCTGGATTCATTGGGGTCATAAGTCAAGGACTACTTTATTTCCCCAGGTTTCAAGCCAGGGAAATGCAGCAGCCTTGATGGACCAATCCCCAGGTGGTTTGCCAAGGGAGCATATCCGGGGTCAAGCCCTTTGGGGTAGAGTTTCAGTTTATAGTCACAGCTGCAATCTTCATTTTGTTGACATTTCTATCCCCCACCTATGCCCCTGCTTGCAATTTTAGCAAAACATGTCTAGTGAAGAAAAACTGGCTGCACTGAGGACCAGCTCAAAGGAAACATAAATCACCTACCTCTGTGCATGATCTTATGCTTTTCTCGCAAATACGTTAGTCCCTTTATGACCTGTGGATCAAAACAATGCACTCATTGCAAACAACAATACAACTGGATAACCTTCAAAGGAACTTAACAATATCTCTTCTTAACAGAAGGGAGTGGGAAACACCCCAACCTAACAGGTATCATGCTCCAGTTTACTGTTCCTCAGAATTTTTTTTGTGCTTCAAAAATAATTTTAGATATGGGTCTCTTTAAAGCAGCCACCTTTTTCCTGCAGACGACGCAGTTGCCCTCCACAAACCTGGAAGCGGCTTATTGCAACTGAATCTAAAGAACTGCACAGCTATGGATTCTAATGTTGGCTTATGGACTCTGGAATCCCAGGACAAACGATCAAAATTAACTTTTTCTTGGTAGAATTTTCCAGTTTGACACAGGCATCTGTTATCATTTTCTCTAAGCCCACCATTTTTATGAAAAAAAGAAAAATTGTTTGCAGCTCAAGCAATTTCCACGAGGCAGGTCAATGTTTCTCAATCTTGTCAACTTTAAGATGCACGGATTTCCACTCCCAGAATTGTGGGAGTTGAAGTTCACACATTTTAAAGCCGACAAGGTTGAGGAACATTGAGGCAGGTTGTCTACATTAAACATTTAGGAAAATTGGGAAGCTATTTTTTTTGTTTCAGCTGATGATGACAGATGGAAAGCAGAGAAAAAGGCACACAGACAGAGAATCTTTTCCACTTATTTTTTCTGTTTTTTTCTCTCTATGTGACCCCAGTCCATATTGTGTGCCAGGGAATGGAGAGCTGTTGTTAAACACCATCGGGTTCAGCTTCTGGCAACAGCACCCACAAATGTTCACCCATCCAGATCGGTCTTTTGTCATAATTCAGAGCTCTTCCAAAGACATGTGAGTCCCTTCTTTCCCAAGGGGGGGGGGTATCCCTGATTTTGCTCTTGTATAGCAGCCTTATTTGAGACCTTCATTTCTAAAGGAAAAGAAAGAAGAAGAAAGAAAGAGGAAGGAAGGAAGGAAGGGTGGAGGAGGGAATAAGAGAGAAAGAGGAAAGAAGAAGAGAGGAGGAAGAAAAAGAAGGAAGAAAGAAGAAGAGATAACGAAGAAGAAGGTAGGAGGAAGGAAGAAGAAGATGGAAGCAGGAAGGAAGAAGGGAGAAGAAATAGGGAGGAAGAGGGGAAGGAGAAAGAATAAGAAGAGAGGTGGAGAAGGAAAGAAGGAAGAAGGGAGGGAGGAGAAAGAGGAAGGGAGAAGACAGGAGGTGGAAGGAAGAGGGAAGAAGAAAGGAAGAGGGCAGGGAGGAGGGGGAGGGGGAGGAGGAAGGAAAGAAGGAAAAAGAGATGGAGGAGGAATCCCACTTCTCTTTGCCTTAAAGTTGTTCTCAGCACTCTCTCCCTTTATCTTTACCCAGCGACACCAACCATGTTGGGATCTGACTTTTTGCACGCCCAGACGACATACTTACAGCAATGCTGACTTTGCCAAGAATCTGTTCCGGAATTCTGCCAGCCTTCTTCAACACTTGATCCAAGGATCCACCATCCTATTAAGAAATGTTCAAACACACAGAGCCTTTAATCGATTTTATCCTCAAAGAGTTGAGGATATGACAAAAGTAACCAGGAAAATGCAAACTTGACATCTGGCTGATAAAACTCAACTAAAAAAAAAGATAAATATTAGCATGAAATAATGCCACGTGGCTGGAAAAATAAAGCTGAACTAAGTTTCTACAACCCAACTTTTCCCAAACTGTCAAACCTACAAAACTACTTTAGTTACAGCCATCTTTCTTCGTTTTTCGGCTTGCTACAGCTAAGGGGGGAGGGAAGACGCATTCTTTTCCTTCAGTCATAACAATAACTTTCTTGTGGGAACCAAGTTCATATTGCTCAAGTGTTTGGCGGGCTAGAACTACCGTTAGAGAGCCTGTCAAAGGTGTTAATTGAAGAATGTGATTTATGACATTATTTAGTAGGTGGGAAGTTTAACTTTTACTTTGTAACCTTTTTGGGGGGGGACTTCCAATCTTGGTTTCACCTATGTTCATGTTGATATTTTATGTAACCATTAAAATTGCTCTTTGAGGAAAGCAATCGCCTCATCTATCTGGACCATGACAGTCCTCTCCTTTGGTAATGTCAAGACTCTAGTCTTCAAGTTCTTCAACTAAAACTCAGGATACAAAGACATTCCCACACTGTGTAGATAATTTGAAGAGCAAGCCAAAAGTTGCTAATAGGCTCTAATCTTATCCCACTGATATCAGGTTTCTCCAAAAGAAGCAATACAGTGCAATAAGAAATCTGGCTTCAAATCCCCAGATCAACTGTAACGTTCAGCAAAATTTACTTGGGTTTCTCTGGCCGTCTCATAATGCGTTCGTCAACTGTGGCGATCCTGGCTGAGAATTATACATCCCAACATCCAGAAGCACACCTAGTGAGGGACCACTGGAATTGTCTAACTCATCTCACAAGATATGTCTGATGTTTCTTCTCCAAGTGTGAGCATTTCTGAATATTTAATTTCCCATAGTTGACACAGATGAGAGATTGGTGTTGAGGTGAATTCTACTGGCAATTTCTGAGGGCAAGACAAGCAGTATGACAGAATACTGGTGTCAATGCTGTGACACTGAATGTCGATGTTCTGACAAGTGAAAGACAACAGCTATTTCCCCCTTTACTTTTAACATACCTTTTTCTGCTGTTTAGAGTTAGATGTAGAAAGGGAGGATGGGGCGAATACTTGAGAGTTAGTCATAACAGTGCCATCATACAAGCTGAGCAACTGGAAAGAGTTAAGAGAACAGCAACAAAGGCGGTGAAGAACTTAGAGACTAGATCACATGAGGGAACTGGGTATGTGTGGCCAGAATAAGGCTAAGAGGAGATATGCTATCACTCTTCCAATGCGAGGGCTCCTTGGTGCTCTCTGAGCTTGGCGGTTTTCCTGCAGACATTTCATTACTAGGTAACCTAGTAACCCTGCTAGCAGGGTTTGCAGAGTTCAGGAAGTGATGGAGAAGGAGGAAGAGGGAGGAGGAGGACTGTGGGGTCCTTGGTGCTCTCTAAGTTTGGCTGTTTCTGGCAGACATTTCATTGCCCAACTTGGTAACATCATCAGTGCTAGTCCACTCTTCCAATACTTAAAAGGTTTTCAAGGGAACAGTTGTAGATGTGTTATCTTTCTCCTCTCATCACACAAACTATGCCCCATCTGGACCATCACTCCCTCTCTTCATCTCTTGATGGTTCTTTCCCAAAAGTCTCAATTTTCTGTGAGTTCAAAGCTAAATTTCCACCCCATAAGGAATATTAGCAGCCCAATGGGGGAGATCAATTAAAACTGTGTTTGGGCATGAAACTACCTCCACAGCAAACCTGGCTCCAAAAAACAAAACAAAAAACAAACAAAAAACCCCCAAAAGCTTTTTTTTTTTTTTTTTGCAGAGCCCCAAAGCAATTTCTTCCCCAACATGGAATTGTTCAGTCTCTCTTCAAGAGTGAAGCGAGGAAGGGCACAACTAACCTCCAAGCACAGAAACAGAGCATGGGGGCTCCATCTGGCCGCACCAAGGCTGACAGATGTCCAAAATAAAGTGAGATTTTTGTTTCTATGAGCAGGAAGCAAACATTTTTAAAAAATAAACAGGAAGGTGGGAGTAGATGGGAACAAGAAATATTGCCTACAATAAAATAGGGCCAGACTCAGTCAGCTCCCCAATTCTTTAGTTCAGTGTTTTTCAACCTTAGCAACTTTAAAATATGTGGACGTCAACTCTCAGAATTCCCCAGACAGCATCCAATACAACTGATGAAGCTTCCAGGATAGGAACAGAAACATCTTCTTTTCCTCAAAAAGTCAGTCCAGTTGCCTTTTTGGAAATAAAAACCACTTTTGATGTAATAACAGTAATAATAATTTATTAAATTTGTATGCTGCCTGGTTCCTAGCAATTTTGGATGATTTACAAACTGCTGGCCCGTGGGCCAGACACGTCATCCAGAAGCCACTCCCACCCCATTGCTGGCAATGGCAAAACCGTCCCGATACGTTGCGTGATATCACATGACGTCGTGAGTTTGACATGTCTGCTTTAAATCTTATGGCAACCTCAGTCCAGAGGGAAGATGCTGCTACAGAGAGGGTGCATTTTGGGGTCCGGATAGATGGCCTTGTTTGAGCCCTGACTCAGTGCAGGACATCAGAGGCAAGCAAGCCCAGCCAACACCTGCTTATTTTTGTTAATATGCCATTGTGAGCAAAAGCAGAATTTCTGGCTGGCAAGGCCCCCAACAGATGGTCTCCAGTGACTTGAAAAGAGCAACTGAGCCAGCAAAGCCTAAAACTGCATTTGGAATCATGTGTTAATCAAACAAAATGAACTTTAATCCTAATTCTCAAGGTCAGAAACCTTTTTTTAGATTTTAGATTTTCTTTTTAAGTTTAGTCTTGACCTGCCTTTTGTTGGCTTTCCCAACACATTGAGATGAACCCTCTAAAAATTAGAGCTGTACAATTTCCTTGGGCAATTAGGCTAGGATGATTCTGTCTGGAGGATATTATAACTTTGAGTCTCTGATCACAATTATGATATTATTTTTGGGTTTAATTGATATCCGTAGTTGTTTTTTTTTGTTTGGGCAATGTATAATCATGCAATGAACAAAAATGCTGCAGAGTTGCATTGCTGAAGCTGGCAGACATATTAAGGTTTTAAAAGGAAGGAAGGAAGGAAGGAAGGAAGGAAGGAAGGAAGGAAGGAAGGAAGGAAGGAAGGAAGGAAGGAAGGAAGGAAGGAAGCAAAATAGAAGGAGGAAGGGAGGGAGGGAGAAAAAAGGAAAGTATGGATGAATGGAGGGAAGGCAAATAGAAAAATAGATGGATGGATGGATGGAGGAAGGGAGGGAGGAAAATAGGATGGATGAATGGAGGGACGAAAATAGAAGGATGGATGGATGGATGGAGGACAGAAGGAGGGAAGGAAAATAGAAGGATGGAGGGAAGGAAGGAAGGAAGGAAGGAAGGAAAATGGAAGGAGGGAGGGAAAATAGGAACTTCTGACTCTCTAACCTCCCCTAGCCCTTAATGGCTCCAGCACCACCGGGCCCCACACAGCCCCCCAAGCAGAAAGGATAGATTACCATGTGCTCCATGCAGATGCTGATCTCGCCGTCACTGTAAAAAGCTCCATAAAACCCCACGATGTAAGGGGAGTTGCATTCGTGCAGGACCTGGAGCTCCCGAATGATCTGGTTGCGAATTGCCGGCTTGATCTCGAGATGAATCAACTGCCAAAGAATCAGTCACTGTGTGGGTTGCTCCTTGGTTCTTCCCACCACTTCCACGCCCAGCCCACCATGCTGCCCATAGAGAGCCCAAGGGAGCCGGAGCAGAGGACAAACCCTCTAACCGGAACACCCTTCCGATCTTTACTCAGCTGTACCCACAAAGCCTGGATGTGCCTGTGCCAGCCTTCATTTACCGAGGAAGAAAGCCTTTCATCCTTCCTGGTCTGCCTAAGTGAGGCAGACAAAATTCTAAGGCTGAATACTGGCATTCCTTGACTTACGATCGTAATTGGGACTGGAATTTCAGTCACTAAAAAAATGCAATCATTATGCAAGTCATCATCTGACCAGACCCAATTTTATGACATGGTCATCAAGCCAGTCATGTGGCTGTTAAATGAATCGCATGGTCATTAAGCAAATCCATCTTTTCAAGTTGAGTCTGTCAGAAATCATCTGGGAAGCTTCCCAAATCACATTCATACGACCAAAGACACTGCAACTCTCGTAACTGTAGATCTGGGCTGCGAGTACTTGAATTTGCAATCAGGTGACCGTGGGGTGGTACCACAGTCATTAATTCCAAGGACAGGTTGTAAGTCACTTTGAGCCAGCGTTAAATAAAGAGTTGTAAGTCAAGGACTACCTGTATCCCATTTGAATCTCTAGCTATCTGAGCTCATGGAAGAATAGGAAAAAGTAAGATTTTGATACAGCAGCAATAAGCTAGCAGGTGACACAATTGCTAATTATGCCATTAAGAGTTTCTTATGCTTGGGACATGAGCTTTATGAAAGTGACCGGATACATGACTTTCCACGGCTGAGGGCAGACTCCAGCCCAGCAGTTTTGATGCCTGTGCGGCTTCACCTTTTGATTAAACATTTTAAAAAGAAAATAGGTGAGCAGAGAAGCTGGCTGGTATCTGGAGGTATGTTGGTGCTCAGAACATCACATTGTCCACGTCCGATAAATGGCTTCTGCAAATGGCAGCTGATTGAATAAACCATGGCTTAGTGAGACATGTGAACTTAACCAATAACAAAACTCACCTTCCTGGCCATAATGAGTCCAGAAGGCTTGTGTGAGACTTTGAAGACCACACCACCGTTGCCCGCGCCCAGTTCGCTGATCTTTTCGAAGTCGTCATCCTTCAGTTCCCCCACTTTTTGCTTCTGGGTTAAAAAGGCCTCCAGCCGTTTCCGCTGCTGCTCATCCAGTTCCAACTCCTCCAATTTTTTCTGCAGGGCTTCCAAATTGGTCCTGTGGGCCCAAGTGAGAGAAGGGAGAAACTCCTATTAATGATAAAGGAGCCAAGACCCCAGGCAAGCTCTTCTCCCTCAAGATACAGGAAACTAGCACATAAGAAAAAAAAAGAAGAGTTTTGATGTGCATTAGGACAAAGCTGCCTTGTTGTTTCTGCTGTCACCCACTACCCTTACTAATTTTTATGGTGTTTGTGTCTTGCCTTTTGTCTGAAGGCTCCCCTGTAAGAGAAGGAATGGAAGAACCTGGGGGTGAAGTCAAAAGAGGAATCAGCCTAGAATCCCAACATAGCCACAAGTGAGCTAAGTCCAAATACTCTTGAATTCTATGGACCTTTATCCAACTCCAAGCAGGTGCTACCCATGAGTTGAGAAGATTCTTGTGCATAGACTGTTGAGCAATAAATCAGTTTAACTGGAGCTTCACAGTTAGGTAGACCTGATCTTTTTCTCTTGAAATCACTCTACAAAGCGATCTCTCCTAGATCTTTCCTAGTTTTATGTCCAACCGCCCTGTGAGTAAATTGGGCAAGACAGCAGTGCCCCTATGCACTCCAGGGAGCTTTACAGCCTACTAAAGAAGAGGTGGAAGGTGCACATTCTTCAGATGCCATAACACATCTCCTGAGATTTTGTTGGGAAGGGAAGAACCAATTCGACTTTCTATTAAATGGATATTTAATGACCGACAATCATTTTGTGAAAGTGCGCCACTTCTGTTCTCAATGTTCCAGATATGTCCCTATCCACATACGTGTATCTTTCCTGTGTCTGTTCTTCCCTGCTGCACAGATGGAACACTTTAATGGGACACCCATCCAGCAGAAATAATATCAACCACATAAGCATAGTTAATTAACTTTCAAAGTGAAGACAACATTTTCCATCCTCTGGCATTTATTGATTCAACACAGCTGTCTTGTTCCCAGTGAGCAATCATTTCCCCTATAGAAAATGTTCTCAGATTCCATTTGCAGCAGACAGATAGTACTTTCCATCCTGTGGAAATGTTTTAGGCACTCAACGGAACCAATTTGCAAGCTGTTACACAACCACTGACACTTTGCATGGATGCTCCCCACTTCTTCATCATTTCTCTTCTCTCAACAACAAAAATACAATAAACAGGTATAAAAGAAGAGGACATGAGTTGCTGCCCCTCTTGTTCTAAAGATCCATCCTCTCTTAGACCACTTTTTTTCAAAGTAGGAGGACTTCTTTTCCCAGAGTTCCATGCAGAGGAACATCTTAAAGTTGCTAAGGCTAACGAACACTGTCTTAGGCTTCTTTCAGGTTGATGCAAATGGTTTCTGAATGTGAACTGACTCTGTTTTTAAGCTGAGAGATATAAAAGCCATTCTGTTCTTTAAAAACTTCCCTTGCAGCAGATCTTGCCAGCGATGAAAGCAGTTGCTAATCTATTTTGTATAATGAATTCAGGAAAACCAACTACCACTTTTAAACCTTGCTAATCAAAAGATAGAAAAATGAGTTGACATCCATCTTAGTCTAACACCTTCCACCTTGAATTTTGCAGAGATGTTATAAGATTAGGCTTGGCCAATTCTCAATATTAAGCAAGGCTCCTGGAGATGGCAAATTGCTTATGAAAAATCCAGCAGGAAAATGGTTTGCAACTCAAAGTTGCGCATCATCAGCAACAGATTTGTGAGCAGATAATTTTTAAAACAGCAAGCAATCAATTTTCACGCTCACAAGATATGGGTTTTGGTTAGAACACAGCTATGGAACACGGCAATTGTCACAAAATTTAAATTCTCCTTTGGAAAAAAAGTAAAAAAGTAGAGGCACTGTGTAGTATCTCAAGCGTCAGCTGAAAATAAAAGCTGTTAAAAATAAAAACAAAAACAAAACAGTTTTGACTATCCCTTGTCTTTAGGTTGACAATCCCAAACCAAAATGTGAATAAGCTATCATTAGAAGCAACAGAGATCTTGCATTAGTATGCCACAGTAAATTTTCAACTGTCACTGCAACTGGATTATGTACTTCCTGCTCTGGGGAAGATTCTTTTCCTTAATAGAGGAGTGGAATGCAGCTCGTGTTTCAAAAGGACATCTGCTGGCAATTTGCCCCCTTTCCAGCCAACTGCTTGTGTTGAACACCCCAAAACCTGGAAATTTATCCAGTGAAAGAAACCCAATTAATGGAAGGCCAGGTTTACTCATATGCTGGACTTCACAATCTGAGATACACAAAATTACATATATTGGCAAAGTCTACACATACATCAAGCTTAGAACATAGTCCAACCCCCTGTTCAAGGCAGGAGATCTTATACCATTCCAATCAAATGGTTGTCCAGTCTGTTTTTGGAAACCTCCAATGATGGAGCACCCACAACCCCAGTAGGTAAGCTGTTTCACCGATTTAATTTCTCCTTACTTCTAGGTTGCTTCTCTCTTTGATAAACTTCCACCCATCGCTTCTTGTCCTGCCCTCAGGGGCTTTGGAGAATAGATCGATTCCCTCTTCCCTGTGACAGCCCTTCAAGAACTGGAAAGTGGTTATCATATCCCTCTTAATCTTTCTCTTTGATAGGCTAGACCAGTGGTGGTGAATCTATGGCACGGGTGCCAGAGGCTGCACTCAGAGCCCTCTCTGTGGGCACGCGCACCGTCGCCCCAGTCCTAGGCCTTCAGCTGGGTTTTATAAAACCTTTTCGCTTTAGGCCTCCGCCGCCGTGTGCAAAAAAAAAAAGAAAAAGGTTCAATCAATTTCAATTTCTTGCGGGAAAAAAAATCTTGTAAAATTGGAATTGATTGATTGAACTTTTTAGTCCTACCCAGTCTGCCGTTACCACTGCAGCCACCCCCACCCAATGGGCCACGCCCACCCAGCACCCGATGATGCATAAGTGGTTTTGGGTTGCAGTTTGGGCACTCGGTCTCTAAAAGGTTCGCCATCACTGGGCTAGACATACCTAGTTCTCTCAACCATTTGTCATACAATTTAGCCACCAGATCCCTTATCACAGTGATGGCAAACCTTTTAGAGACCGAGTGCCCAAACTGCAACCCAAAACCCACTTATGCATTGAGTGCCGGGTAGGTGTGGCCCATTGGCTGGGTGTGGCCAATTGGTTGGGCGTGGCCCATTGGGTGGGCATGGCTGCAGTGGTAACGGCAGACTGGGTGGGACTAAAAAGTTCAATCAATCAATTCCAACTTTGCAAGATCTTTTTTTTCCCACGAGGTTGAAATTGACTGATTGATTGAACCTTTTTTTTTTGCACACGGCGGCAGAGGCCTAAAGCGAAAAGGTTTTTTAAACCCAGCTGAAGGCCTAGGACTGGGGCGATGGCGAGCGTGCCCACAGAGAGGGCTCTGAGTGCCGCCTCTGGCACCCTAGGTTCACCACGACTGCCTTATCATCTTAGTTGCTCTTCTCTGAACTGTCTAGGATCTCAGCATCTTTTTTGTATTCTGGTGTCCAGAACTGGATGCAGTATTCCAAATGTGGCCTCACTACTATTACTTCCTGTGATCTTGAAGCTATCCCCTGTTGATGCAACACAGGATTGCATTAGCTTTTTTGGCAGCTGCAGCACATTGCTTAAAATCAGGTTGCCGCTTTGATCAGAAATAAGGTAAAACACACAGCTTAATAGGAGCCAGACATCAGGAGGAATAACAGAGTAACAGAGTCGGAAGGGACCTTGGAGGTCTTCTAGTGCAGAGGTCCCCAACCTTTGGGGCACCAGGGACAAGTTCCATGGAGAGAGGTCTTTTCGCGGACCGGAGGATATGTGGTTTTGTTTGTTGCCTGCATCTCATGGATGGGGCTTTGATTGTTTGTGTGGATCAGTTGCTGGCATGCTGCGGCCCGGTACTAGTCCACAGACCAGGGGTTGGGGACCCTTGTTCTAGTGCAACTCCCTGCTCAAGCAGGAGACCCTATACCATTCCGGACAAGTGACTGTCCAGTCTCTTCTTGAAAGCCTCCAGTAATGGAGCGCCCACGACTTCTGAAGGCAAACCGTTCCACTGGTTAATTGTTCTCACTGTTAAGATATTTCTTCTTATTTCTAGGTTCTCTGATAGCATTTTAGTAACTAACAATGGAAATTAATAAGCTTTCATGAGCTTCTGTCTTTGTTTTGAGTCTGAAAAAGTGCTCCAGACTCCTGATTTTTGGCCACCTAAACTAACTTGCTTCTTCTTCAACAATCAAGAAGTGCAAGAAGAGAATTGCAGAGTAATTAAACAGACTGCTGTTTTGGCTCTCATTCTTGCCAAATAGATAATTCTTTAATTCAACAATTGGACAGACTCAGAAACAGGGAGACAGCAGGAAAAGCAAAGCCTCTTGCCTCCGTTCAACTCAGTCTGCAGTTGTCATCTGCATTGGCATTTCTGAATCACGAGCACCATCAATTTCTTCTCTTAAAAGGACCAAGTAGCAGATAACGGCAAAGTTGGTTCTCTGCCCAAGGAGACAATTCAACAGGCTGGGTTAGATGGAGGAATAGGCTGTGTCAGAGCATGCACAGTCTTATTGCGCTGAAGTAACCCAGGAGTAAATACAGTAAATAGTGCTTTGCATTAAATGGTGGTTTATATTACACTATCTACAAGATACACTAGAAACAAGATACATGCACGTGGAACTCCAATACACAGCAATTACAGCGGCCAAATGCACAAGAGAGAGAGACTCCAGCAAGGTCTTCCCTTTTATACTCAAGCTCTTAAAGAGATACAGACTTCTGCTGAGTCATCCCTAATATTGCATCATTCATCTCACATTATACAAGCTGGTTAATTTCCAAATCATTACTTTGACAGGCTGAACTTACATCCTGTCTTAAGCCATAATATAATTTGGCCCTGATGGAAGGGGTGATGATGGTGCTACTGCACTTCTAGTTGGAAACTATGGCTTTGAGGCTTAACGTGTTATGGAAATCCAGCCCATTGTGATTAAGTCAATGAACTCTGATTTAGCACAGTATGCAAACCCAATTATAATCTCTCT